TTATTATTCTGGTAGTTTTTCTCGTCATTGTATTAGCAGACTGTCCTGTAGTCTTCTATAAAAGGGTCTGAGTAAATTAGCAAAAATATGGGACACAACAAATTCATGAAAAAAAAACGGAATAAATATTCAATTTTGACAGAATAGACGTTTTTCACAGCAGCCATTTTCACATGAAATAGTAGGGCAAACACAGGTGTAAGGAACTATACTAATTAAAGCTCTGTTGCTCTGAGACAACATGCACAACAGCAGCACCCTGACTGTTTGGAGTGAATTATTCCTGAATGGAATAAAACCTTGATTAGTGTGATTGGTAAGACCTGTGCTTACAGCTGCTGTGAAAAAGGTTTGTTGTGAATGAAAAACACTCTTAAAGCTGCAGTAACTTTTATATATATAATTGTTTTTTCATGTTTTCTGAAACGTTCACTATATCCTGACAGTAGCACATGAGACAGAATCTGTGACAAAATCAGGTGCTTCTAATGGCTTTTTTCAAGAATCCACCCTGCCTAAACAAAAACACCAAATCAGAGCCAGAGATGATTGTTTGATGATTGAGTCTCATTCCAAGATCATCAAATACCAATACCAATACCAATGCTGGGAATGAGACTCAACAATCTATCGTCCTTAAGCCACCAACCCAAAGCGTCTAGGAGCACTAGGAGGAGCCAGAGGAACCTGATTGTTCACAGATGATCTGTCTCATGTTCTACTGTCAGAACACAGCGAACATTTCAGCAATAATGACAAAAAGTAATTTTTTTAAAAAGCTATCTGCTTCAGCTTTAATGTCACATTTCTTCTGCATATGTTGGCGGCTATTAGCCAAAAGACAGCTATTACTGATGCAACATTATACTAAAAGGGCCGAATGCTGAATGGTAATCTAGCTTGCTCAAATGTGTACGAAAGGCTCAATGGCAGAAGATAAAACCAAATTTTAATTACAAATGATGTTACAGTTTGTCATTCCAGTCTTGCATAGCCACAGTAATGGCAGTAATGCACTTGACAAGATTTTTGCAGGCCACAGCAAATGAGCAGGAGATGCATGGAAGCCAAGGAGAGCAACTAAAAGGGGAGGAAACTGGCAAAAACCAAAGTACTCTCAGAAATTACAAGCCATTATAAAATGGTTGCAGTCTCCCTCTGTTGTTCAAAAGTGCATTAAACGACAGGACATCAGGGTCAACTCATAAATACCTTTCACTCTCAGTGCGTGCAGTATACACAAGCACATATAACGGCTGCTACAGATGCTACCTTCCAGGATTAGTGAGGTAACAGATCGACTTTTATCATTGCAGTAGTTTTGATTAGTCAGAGCAGGAAAAGCACAGCTGTGTGTGCCAGCATGTGTAATACCAAGGTCTTAAAACTGGCACACTGGCAAACTGAAATGAATGTAATATTATGATCTATTTTATTACAGTGCACCTGCGTTTGAAAAGACAAAAATTGTACATGGAATTGCCATTATGAAAACATGTTGTATAAGTTTTATGTCTCTTTAACATTGGCAGGTGTACAAAAGTGACAAAGCATTATAAAACCAATAAAAATGGTGCAAACAGAACCTCATTTAAGCTCACAATTCAACACAATTGTGCTTCTCATTGTAGCCTTGCTTTAGTTTTCATAGAAAGTGGATTAGTTATGAGGCCATGAATTAATTTATGAAATGTATTTTCACACTAACTAGTATTAACACAACACACAGAGGAAGACCTTAGGAAAACAAACATAGATTTAATAAAGAGAAACACATTTTAGAGGAGAACTGACATTTGCGCTGACCTACTCTTGCTTTCTCAAACTGGACAAACTGTAAAATTAAGTTTTTTCAAAAAGTTTTAATATCATGGTGATTGCAACCTAGTTTTATTTTCTAGTGTCAGTGGTAGGAACAAGACCTTTACGTTTATAAATGGGTCCTTTTTTTTCAGACCAAAAAAAATTACTTTATTTTTTCACTAAGCCTGAGGCACCTGGAAATCACAGAAACTGGTGGAGAAATTAGGAATTGTTGATCATTTGGAAGAAACTGGGAACAAAGGGTAATTATTCATTATCTGGAGTTTGAGGACAAAATTCTGTTTATTTTAAGAGTTCCACAACTCTGATTGCTGTGAAGAAACCAATTTACAACAATATGTAAAGAATATGAAACATCCACGAACAAATCCTCTTAGAATTATGTTTGGTTGCTGCAGTTGTCACATGGGGGCAGTATGACTACCAGACTGTAAACTGCACAGATTCTACATAGCAGCATTCACACCTCATTTACAAAATCTGTTGTGCTCTATCCTAAGTGAAAGCTATAATGTATCTCATATAACCAACTGTAAAATGGCATCATAAGCACCTTAAACGAGCAATATGAGTCCATTATGCATTATTCATGACAGTTGGGTCATAGACAACTGCTTTAACAGCATTAATATTCATCATATTCTATTTTGCAATACGAACGTTTCAAAGAGCTTCTGACTACTTAACACCTCCACTGTGGCAGATTAGGTCTGACTGCCTTCTTCAAAAGCACTTTGACTGTTATTAAAGGGGAGCAGAGCACTTGGCATTCTCTTTGCCCTGCTTTGACTTTCCCAGCATGACCTCTGGGTCAAACATCTTTCATCATCATTTATCTGACACTAAACTTGTTTTCCCCAGTAGCCCTGGCCATTACTTTAGAGCTGTTTCTTTGAATAAAACCTATAACAGTGTGGCAAATTAATAAAACACTACAGCTTAAAAACAAAATCAGCAACATAGTGTCACCAAATGTGCTTGTCTGGAGTGCACAGACTGATATTATATGAGATATGAGGAGTACAATCGCAATAACTCTGCAGAGGCAAAGCAGGTGCAGGCTGAAACGAAGCAGAAACAGCACAGCAAAAAATATTAATGGTTGACTTAAATGGGCTGTGTTTTTCAGTCGAAATGTCTAATTGATGTGCATGCTAAGTTAGCCACCTGGATCCATTTCCCCTCCAGAATTAAGCCTCTTTTAATTTCTCCTTATTGCTGACCTTCTTCCTCCTAAACCAGCTGAGTAAACATCTCCCCCTGCACATCTGAAACATTAAGCACTAAAAATATGTAAATAGGTCTATATGTTTGCAAGGATAGGAACTTGCCTTGTTATGAGAATAAAACTTATAGGCAGCTCTACTTTTGGAGATGATGCTGCATATGGTTGCTTACACCTAACAGATGATTAACATCCAGGGCCAGATTATCTAAAATGAGCTGGTAATGGTGAATGCTGGGTAGGAAAACTTGCTGTTCAAAATTTCAGATGAAGATTGGAAAGCAGCTTGCACTAATGCAATGCCAATTAATTTGGTGGAACTATATAGATATAATAAACACATACCAGACATATGCACAAAATGTACAAAAACTTGAGGAACATGAAATATTAAAATGTCCTTAAAATGTAAGAGTTATACTTAAGAAGATTGTTTCAAAACAAATATGACTGGACCCTAAGCTTTTCCTGTTGGGCTTAAATCCAGAGAAATATAATTATACTAAAAATGAACGAGCACTTTCAGACCTCAGCTCGCTCCACATCACAGAGTGTATTGCACTGCTGTAGAAGAGGATAAGACAGACGTTATCAAGCTTCAAGTTTCTGGTCTTTTTTCATTTTTCTTCTAAATATTTGTATTATTTTGCATCTATTGGAATCAACAGATTACCATTTGTTAAAACAGGAGGAGCATTCTTGTTTTGAAGGGTTTTTGTGTGTTTTGTTTTGAATAAATGCAGCAATTGTATGTAAAAGGCTTTGGGTTTGTAAAAATCTTTTTTAAATATATTGTGGGGGACAAAAATGAGCTGGTGCCATGTGGCAATTGCTTGTTTGGCACAGTTGGCAATTCAGCCTTGTTAATATCCATGACTTTTTTTTCACTTTCTTACATTAACAATCAATAAACAAATATGGGATGTCATTGTAACTATTGATGAAGGTTTCTTAAATCCTGGAGAGTCATATTCCCTTGTAGTGTATTTTTTACCAAAGCTGTTTAACAGATATGATGATATGTAACTTAATTTCAAGATCCCTTCCAGAAGGCATATATACAAGTAGTCTGCTTGAAACAATAATGTGTGTCTGATAGCCTATATTTTATTCCTGCATAAAAGTATCATTTACACATTAAAACCCTTAAAAAAATAATGTATTAATATAATAATCAGGACTCAAGATGTCTCCTACTTCACTGTAAAGTCCATTCTCAGTGGATGCACTGGTGGATTCAGGTTTCTACATCACACTGTACAAGCTGCATACTGGACCAGGACTGACTTCCTAACTATTTGTGA